TCTATTTTTATTTGTTCTGGATATATATATTTTATTATCTTTGATTATAAATTTAGTTAATATATTTTATTTAAAAGTACAATGCATTTTTATGGTTCAGTCAATACTATTTATTTTTGTAATAAAGTTCAGCATTATTTTCTTTGAGTGTTATGTTTTGATTCAGTATCAGTTTTAAAAAACTATTGGTTAATTTAATAAAGGAAGTGGATGGCCCAAAAAATACCGAGAGGTACCCCCTCACTCATAAATAATTGTATATCTTGCTTCATACTTACGAATGTAGTAAAAGGAGACAGGTATGAACATACAATATTATGCCAATCTTTTAACAACCAGAAATGTTCAAATATCAAAGGCGAAACATGTTCCTTCATCTAATTATACAAAGCAGTGTAAGATTAACATAACAAACCATTGCTGTATCTCAACACTTCTCACTATTATATCCCTGTGCATCTAAGCATACAAAGAATGAAAAAAGGGCATTTTCTTTCGCTTGAATCAAATTTTAATTGTTAAATACTACACTTAGCCTACTTCCACAAAACCTGCAAAGCCAAGAAATTAACTGCAGTCCCTACAAGAATTAATATACAGTAGATTCAATCAAAAACTATATGCAAATGATGCTGACAAAATCTGAGATTTTAAGTCAATCTTATCAAACTTTGTGCATTTACATTTATGGGAGACACTATTGTAAGTTTGAGACAAAAACCTAGTCTCAAAGTTCATTATTCAACGAGTAAAAATTAATACATACAATCTAGCAGTCCTAATTATTGAACAGTTTTGCACTTTAGATGGAAGAAATGTGAAATACAGCCATTTTAAGTCAGGACAAAAATGATTCAGCTTTAGCTTTAATATTTAATTTTTTAGGAGATCTATTTCAAAGCAATTATGCCTGCAGAAAAAATAATAATAAAAAATTGAGAAGCTTCAAGGACAAATAGCTATTTGAGTGCCTTGACTGTACCAAATCATTTGAGAATACAAATGAACTTTTTTCTATAGAGCATCATAGGTCTTTTAAATACTGAATTTCCAGTGTATTATAACTTGTAAAGGGTTGTGAAACACTACAACATGTTTTCCTCAATGTTAACAGTGCACATTACTGATATCTTAATGAAAGAGAGTGATAAAAAAAATGTTATATTTCTGGGTTTCATGGAACAGAGACATATTTGTGACATTATTTGTCTATAGTAATAGAAATCATTCTGATATTTTTGTGTAAAATTTTCCTAACATTAACATTCGAATACAGCTAAAGTGGAAATGTAGCAAGGACAAAGAAATTTGACTTTTGAAGTCCAAATCAATTGGATTTCTCGGTCCTGACTTCTAAAAAAGAACCGTCCGGTAATATTCGATTACACAGGTATATGGGTATTTAATTTTTTTTGTCTAGGTAAGCATCCAGAGACATTTAAGTCTTTATCAGCAATAGAGATATTAAAGATAAGCAGTGCGGCTTTAATGGTAAATGTGGTCATATCATATTACGTCCACAGAAGGTACTTAATTATAATGCACTTGGGCTAACCTAACCCTGATCTCTGACATTATGCTGCTATATTTCACCTCTCTCTCCCAGTCTGCTGCCTCTAGTGGTGTAAACATGGCAATACAAAAGCATCTCCCCATATATCACAACTGAACCTTCCAGAATCCTGGGGAATGCATCCCTTCAAGTTGGCAGGATCACGGACAGATTGGTAGGGACTCGGGCACGGAATAAATATAGCCTGTGACTGAAGGTACTCACTGACACGTGTGACTTCACCTTCTCCTGCCTTTTCCTATTAGGTAACAAGACAAAATGCATGCTCTCTGATGTATGGGAATCTGGGCCAGGCCGTGTGTAAGACATATGAATGTGATACATAAGATCTTATACACAAAGCAAGATCAGCTAAGAGACATAAATGCACTGCTATGTTGTTAACAGCAGCTCTACTTCAGATACCATCTTTTAGGATACAAAGCACCAATGCAAATTATGCACTCTAGACCATTAAGAGTTAAATAACCAATATAAAGCCTTTGATCCATCTGTTTCTGCCTTTAGCCAATGACATGTTAAGAGGAGCATACTACTGTAACTTTTCTGGAGTATGCATGCTTGCTGTGTACAGAAAACAAAATGTATGCATGGTAGCCTATGCCAACATGAGTCATGACCCATGCTAAAATGTGTAGTATACAGACACTGAGCTAGATACTATATCCCGTAATGCACTTAACTTGACCAGTACATTTCCAGTGTGATGAATTAACAGCAAGTTCAAATTAAAATGTAACATAAAATCTATAAGGTCATGTGTCAAAAATATAGTGTATATTTAATGTTGCAGAACACAGGTTTTTTTTTATTTTATTATCCAGTATGCAGTATGCAGTAAGCACTGATATTCCATTCGAAACACAGCCAGTTTCTCTGCGTCTCACACTCTGGGCGCTTGACATCATTTTTCTCTGGACTTCCACCTCAGGGAGCTGTAAAAATCACAACACAACTGTTTGTCCACCAACAGCTGAAATCTCACAAGGCCACGAGCCGTCCAAAACACTTTTAGGCCTCAGCGAAACTGACACGTTTTCAGGAGCACAATGACACCAAATAGAGCAATCCTTGTGAAACGATTCATGAAGTGCCATTTTTAATAGCAATCACTGCGCCACATTGACTTCTGGGTGAACAAGCAAACCAATCTACTTTGTAAATGCATGTTATACATTTTATTGTGAATAAATTCATCCTGTATGTATACGTTTATTTATTTTTTTCCTTCTTCTTACATTTAATCTCGTAATGTTTAATCAAAATGTCTTAACTCAAACTTCCAGTGAAAACGACAAACTTCTCTGTGGTGATTATGTGGCAACCATTTAGTTTAGGCTACTTAAAGGGACAGTTCACCCACAAATGAAATTTCTTTCATTATTTACTCACCTTCAAGTTGTTCCAAACCTGTATGAGTTTCTTTCTTCTGCTGAACACAAAATAATATTTTGAAGAATATGGGTAACCAAACAGTTGCTGGACCCCATTGACTATAGTAGTCAAGTCAGTAGGGACCATGAACTGTTCTTACTGACATTCTTCAAAATATGTTCTTTTGTGTTCAGCAGAAGAAAGAAACTCATACAGCTTTGGAACAACTTGAGGGTGAGTAAATGATGACACAAATTTCATTTTTGGGTGAACTGTCCCTTTAAACCCCACCCTTCCACAATCAACAGCATGCTAACATACATCTGAGTAAATGATGACACAAATTTCATTTTTGGGTGAACTGTCCCTTTAAACCCCACCCTTCCACAATCAACAGCATGCTAACATAGGCTAAATCTTTAAGTGCACTGCCAAGATCTCAAAATCTAATCAACAACCGATCAACCAAAGTCCCTGCCCAGCAGTTTTTTCTTTTTAAATAATCCATTACACTCAGATGTTTATTTCAATATGGAAGAAAAGATCTGTTGCTACTTCCGCTAAATCGCAAAATTGTTAGAACATATCGCAATTTGAATAGCAAGACAGAGTATAATTCTATTCTTAAAGCTTGACTCACATATCGCAATGTTTTATTTAGTTCCTATTATTTTAATAAAAGAATTCTGAACATTTCTAAAATAAACAGCAAAATTCTAATCATATTCCTCTCTCTGTTTTTACATGTGTGCCAATTGTTTACCCTTCTGCGTGCCAATAGTTGCACACATGTGCATTGGTTTATGCCAGCAGCTGCACAATTATCAGTAAAGCTCATACAAACATTTGCATCACGCATTAGCTTTACTGTAAAGTCGCACGATATTAGGCCCTAGCAAACAAATATTAACATCTGCATTTTGAGTTTTTGATTTAAATCACCCCTACAAAACACAATTATGTCTAAATACATGATTATGAAAGAAGTTCCAGGCTTGCATAAGAATAAAATACTCAAGAGTGAGTTCCAAACTGCTTATTAAACACAACGCTATTTCAATCAAATCAAAAAAGCAACAGTATCATCAAACACGTCCCGACTTCAATTTCTCAGACCCCTTGTAATCTCAAGTGGTCACTGACAGCCTTGACAAATGCTTCATCAGACGTCCCACTGAAGATTAAACAGCCAATCCTCAAGGACAGCCCTCAGAGTGATCTTTAGACTCCGGTATCTTTTTTTTTTTCGCTCTCAGTGTCACTGCTTGCGCCTCAGCATCTCGGTTCCTCTGTTAATTGGCGCTACGCTGACATTCTACCACCGCCGGCCACATATCTCTGCCCGATCGCGTAGTTACACGAGCACGCTGATAAATGCTAAGCTGACAGGTTTTATGAGCCTTGGTGAGCAGACGGGAGTGGAGTCATCACCCCAGTCTCTGCTGATCTTCGGTCACGTGTACCTCTGCTCTCGTGTAAACCCAAAATCTGCATGCATGCGACCATTGCGTGCACATTTGTGGAAGGTAAGGTAAGCAAGTAGGCAGCCAGAGGGCTCAAAGCAGCAGAGCTCCCACAATGCACTTCAGCTCCCTCATCCAAACTGTAATGAGAATGGGCGGCAGAGGCAGGTGCAGACATTACGCTCACGTTCTGCCAAAGTTCACGCTTACGGCATCGATATGTGCATTCACTAGGTGGTGTAATACGCTGGTGACAGATGGAGGGAACGCGATAAACAATGGAGCGGCATCTGTTTAAATAAAGCAATCAGGTCTGCTTTGATGCAGCCTCATTTCAAAAACAACGTTCTAAATCGATCAAACGGGATGTTCCCTGAGGACCGAGGGGCTACTTAACCAATCATCTTAGTCATGACCCCCCCTCCCCTCGTCCACCCCACCAGACGAGCACCTTGCTTAAACATAATCTGTGAACGACCAGTTCTAGCTGACTGGTTAACACAATGAGTCAGTGATATGTGAAGGTGTGTGCGTATTCCCTTCACTGGGGAAAAAAGAGGAAGGAGCAAGCAGGATGGGTTTTTCTTTACCTTGCGTCTGCGGTCTCTCGATCGGTTCCTCTTCTTGGTCTTCTCCTCCTCCTTCTCTCGCAGCTCTTGGGCTGCGAGCTCCTGTAGGTCCTTGTTCTTGCGGAGCTGCTTAGCGGCTTGCGCCATGGTGCCGCTGCAACAAGCGGTGCTACGCCTGTGAAGGAGGCTGTCCCTGCAGCGGCCAGTGCGGGAGAGGCGGTGGCGCTGTGCGCGCCTGTGAGGAGTAAGCGCCCTACACGGCTCTGGGCGCCCAGTTCCCTCAGCAGCACGCCACAAAAGAGATGATGCTGCTGCTCGCCTGACTGCTTGCTCCTCATCCAAGCCAGATCCTTCCCATCCCCCCTCCCTTCTTCTCTCTCTCTCTCTCTCTCTCTCTCTCTCTCTCTCTCTCTCTCTCTCTCTCTCTCTCTCTCTCTCTCTCTCACCACACACCAGTCAGTCACGCAGTCCAAGGCTCAACAGTGTAGGGATACTGCAGCAGCTCGATTTTTCTCCCTCCGTTTCTCTTTCTCACTCGCAGTTTTTCTCAGCCATGATACTGCCAACTGTTTACCACACGTCTGTTGGTATTGTTGTCTTCTTTGTGCAGATCTGCAGTATGTAGAGGAAAAAAATCAGTGCACAAGTTCACATATTACCGGTAATTATTTGTTTCCACACAGACTGAAAGGAGAAACCCATCTTTGTTTGATCATTAACTGTATATTTGCCTCTCGCACCACCTACCACAGCATTAAGTTAGATTCATTTTCTGGTTCTAGTCGAAGGCAGGTTCCCCTCTGATTGCTAAGAATGAAAATGGTTTTGAGCTATAACAGCTTACCTCATAAAAACTGCATGTACGGTCTCTCTCTCATCAGACTGTGGTTTTCCATGAGAATGGGTTCATGCATTGTTGTTTATGCAGTAACTCGCTTCATTTACATCTGCATAGTATGGGGGAAAGACAATGTGAGGGTGCGTATATGACAAAGAGAGAAAGATAGGCTGAACAGTCACTTGTTTATTGCACTGAGGTACATACATACCAGTCGCTTTATGTCAGGGAATACCTTATGGAATAATCTGGATGCCTCCCAGAGCTCACATGTTGTTCTTCTCTTGTATTGTAATTCATACAGTAATGACAAATGTTCGCATGTTACTAGTGAACAAGTGGGATACAGTGTGCTATTTATCTCTGTTTATGTTACAATACTGTGCAAAATGTGGGATTGCGGAATAGCAGTTACGTAAAAAGGAGACAGTGCATTACAATTCAGAGCCCATCTGAAGTGAAATGCAGGCGCAAGCGTTTGCCTTTGAGAATGATGGCTGAGTCATGTGACCTCAGATGGATCAGTCATATTTATTTATGCTTGTCATGACACAAGGCTGTACATTATCCTTCATCTGCTTGATTTCCATTCCTCTAATCAATATGATCCACTGATTTCCTTCGGGAAGGGGGAACCTTTTGGGATTACAGTGACAGTCTTATGAATTGTTTGCATTACATAAAAAATTTACCATATTATAGGGTGTATAATATGGTATCACATATTTGGAAATCTGGTAATTAGGTTAATTTTAAATGATTAAGTCACACTTTTCACTCTGGATTCAGAGTGATTAACACGGCATTTACAGCTCAGATAATTGGATAAACAACTACAACCAGAAATGTGTGCATAGCTGGCAGATTTTAAAGCGCAGCCCGCACTGATGAATTGGAAAGCAAACCGATAGCTTTCTTAAGGGGTTATACACCTCATGGGTTTCTGTTGCGCTGGACAATATAGAAGTTGTTTTTTGACTTATACAGACACCTAATGGTGAGAATGTCATTTCTCACAAAAGCCAAAGTTTTCAGTTATCAACTACACTGTAGAGTTATTTGCAATAATCTATAATTAGGTTTATTCCACCAAAGCAGGGTGTCCAATCCTGCTCTTGGAGGGCCACTGTCCTGCAGAGTGCAGCTCCAACCCCAACTAAACACACCTGAACCAACTCAAGGTCTTACTAAGCATTCTAGAAAGTTCCAGGCAGGTGTGTTGAGACAATTTGGAGCTAAACTCTGCAGGACAGTCATGGCCCTTCGGGAGCGAGTTTGGACCATAGAGGTTTGGACACACCTGCATTAAAGCGACCTCCGCAGTTACCAGTTGAAAAAACACGGGTTACAGGTTGCCTGGAACGCGAAATTCACAATTAAAGTCCACCTGGGAAGTTCGTACGTGACGTGGGAAGTCGTGTTTACGACGGCAGCGGTGCGTTCAAGTCACTTTCGTTAGATGGCGGAGTACTTTCTCTTAATTAATTACACAAAAATACAGCAAGGTTCTTAAACTCGTGTTCTAGAAAATGAAGAACAAAGAGATGTGCATCAGGTGTAGGCTACTTTTTTATGTTTTTAATTACTTTATGAAGCCACTGGCAACTTTATCGTTAACGTACATGTAGCATTGTTATATTATAATGGCATATATTCTGTGCAGGCAATTAGCTTACTGCGCTGTAAATAGAAAAACCTGACAACATCACTGCTAAATACCTTTAAGTATTGTGGTTCTCTTACGAGAGGTTCTCTCGTATTGCGTAAGCTAGCTTACGCTACGGGAAAGATTCATCTTTTCTGAGAAATTGAAGCCAAAAATTATCCTATAATTTTGTATCTATTCACAACGCAGTTCAGCTGCAGCAGAGCATGAGCAGGCTAGCTAGCAGCTCATTGGCTCGCTCACAGGGAACTGCTTAAGCCTATGAGGAGACACGAATGAACTCTCGGCCAATGAGAGTCTGACCTGCTCTCATTGCGTCAGAGCCCGCCAAAACGGGCGTGGCCAGAGAGTATAAATTCGCCTCTCAGGCTGTAAATTCAGATTTTTCATATCTTCAGCGAGGCTACACGCATCTGCTGATCCTGAGAGAAGCCGCCGTCGTGGAAAAGGCACCTTCTAGCGAGCATCTGGGAGTCTGAGGAAGCCGGCCGTCTTCGCCACCTTCAGCCGTCCTGCAAGCTAGCGCCATCCGACGGATTCATATCCTTTACCAAAAAGCTTCTTGTATTGTGTGTGTGTGTATCTAAAAGAGCAGCGAGCGTCTTTTTTAAGATGCCTCACACACCTGCGGCTCATGCCGCGTCCCTCTCAGCGCCAGAGCCCGCCTTCTTCTGCGCTCTCTGCCTGGGACTGGGACACGCAGAGTTTTCTCTCGCCAACGGCGGATGTTTCCTCTGCGATTGGGCTTCTGTTGTTGACCCTGCGGGCTCGACTCGAAGCGTTACGCCGCCTCCCCCTCTCACCGCCTACGAGCGCTGAATGGGGGACGAGCCGCTTACAGCTGTGCCAACCGCGGCTAGCTTTCTTTACTTTACAAGAGAGCTAGCCCAGCCCCATGCATACGCGTCACCGGCAAGTGGGTTTATAGTGCGTTAAGTTCCGTCGAGGCCGAACTAGTCGCTGCTATCACACCCTCTTATCCACCGCCGCCCTCCAGGTTTCCGAGCGTGGCTAGAAACTATTGTGAACCCAGAAGCAGTGACTCTGCTCCGTTCAGAGATAGCAAAACTATTGTGCAAAAGAGCTATAGAGAGAGTTCCTCTATCTATGAGCGAGTCGGGGTTTTACGGCCGTTATTTTCTGGTTCCAAAGAAAGACGGCGGCCTCAGACCAATCTTAGACCTCAGATTTCTGAACAGAGTTCTCATGAAGAGACCGTTCAAAATGCTCACTATCAGAAAACTCCTCGCGCATGTGCGCCAGGGGGACTGGTTCATTTCACTAGATCTGAAAGATGCCTACTTTCAGATTCAGATAAATCCCCTTCCCAGGCCATTCGTACGTTTCGCCTTCGAAGGCCAGGTTTATCAATACACCGTCCTCCCGTTCGGCCTATCCCTAGCACCCCGCACGTTTACGAGGTGCATGGATGCGGCGCTCGCCCCCCTGCGGAGTCAGGGGCTGCGAATACTGAACTATTTGGACGACTGGCTGATTTTGGCACAATCACAGAGGGAGCTACTGTCTCATCGTACAGTCCTCCTCGACCATCTGAAAAGCTTGGGCCTCTCTGTCAACTGGACAAAGAGCGCACTTCAACCCAGTCAGACTATCTCCTTCTTGGGTATAGAGCTAGACTCGGGCTCGTCTGTCTACACAGCGCGCGCGTCGTGTGCAGCGTCTTGCCGCATCTTTTCAGATGAACAGACTCACACCTCTGAAAACTTTTCAGAAGGCGCTGGGTTACATGGCCTCAGCCTCCGCAGTGCTCCAGCTGGGGTTACTGCGCATGCGCCCGCTTCAGTTCTGGTTGAAGAGCCGTGTGTCTCACCGCGCGTGGACCACGGGCCGCCAGCTGATAAAGGTAACGCAGACCTGTATCACAGCTCTGCAGCCATGGACCATGACAGAATGGTTTCAGCGGGGCGTTTCCTTGGGGACCTTTTCTTGCCGAAAAGTAATTTTCGACAGACGCATCCAACATGGGTTGGGGTGCGGTCTGCGAGGGCTCACCGGCCTTCGGCCCCTGGTCAGCTCAGGAGAGTCAGACCTGTTTGGAGATGCTGGCGGTCGAGAACGCGCTCTGCCGCGCATTCACGGTCACCATGTGCTGATCCGTTCGGACAATATGGCTGTGGTCTCCTATCTAAAACCGTCATGGCGGCGTCAGATCCAGAATTCTCTTCCGGCTGACAGAACGCATCCTAGTTTGGTCCCAGTGTCACCTGCTCTCGCTCAGAGCGACGCACGTGCCGGGCCATCTGAACGACGGTCCAGACAGTCTGTCCAGGAACCCCATTCCCCCTGGCGAATGGTCCCTGCACACTCTTACAGTCCAAAAGCTGTGGCGAATATTCGGCAGAGCAGAGGTGGACCTCTTCGCCTCAGAAGAAAACACCCACTGCCCAATATTTTTCTCAAAACGCGCGGACGCGCTAGCCCAGACCTGGCCCAGCCGCCCGCTTTATGCATTCCCTCCGGTGTCTCTGCTACCACAGGTGCTTCAGAGAATCAGGGAAACACGCCACTCGGTGCTCCTCATAGCCCCGCGTTGGGAAGGTCAGACTTGGTTTCAGGAGCTCACTCAGCTGTCACAGACAGCCCCGTGGCCCATTCCAGTCAGAACAGATCTCCTCTCCCAAGCTCGCGGCACGATCTGGCATCCCCACCCAGAGCGCTGGGCGCTTCATGCGTGGGTGATCAACGACTACCCGTTGCTTTGCCAGAAGGAGTGTTAAACACGATCATGCAGGCTAGAGCGGCTTCTACTAGAAGGCTCTATGCGTCTAAATGGTCTGTGTTCTCTAAGTGGTGCACCGACAGAAACTTGGACCCACGGTCATGCGAGGTTCCTTCCTTGCTAGTTTTTCTCCAAGAGATGCTGGATAAGGGCAGGTCCCCTTCCACTCTCAAGGTGTATGTGGCAGCCGTCGCGGCGTTCGCTGAACCCCGGCGTGGCCAGTCACTGGGCAAAGATGGCTTAGTCATCCGCTTCCTCAGGGGAGCTAGAAGGATGAACCCCTCACGCCCCCCGTCGGTGCCGATTGGGACCTTTCCATAGTTCTCGAAGCTATGAAAGCCCCCCCATTCGAACCGTTAAACACCGTGGAGCTCAAATACCTTTCGCTCAAGACTATCTTCCTGCTCGCGCTCGCGTCAGTGAAGCGTGTGGGGGACCTTCACGCGCTGTCCAGCAGCGCTTCCTGTCTGGAGTTTGGGCCCAATGACTCCTTAGTCGTTCTCAAACCTAGACATGGTTATGTCCCAAAAGCGATTGGTACCCCATTCAGGGCACAAGTTATTTCTCTATCGGCTCTGCCTGCATCCGATAGCGAATCTGACTCTAATCTCCTGTGTCCGGTCAGGGCCCTGAGATTATACTGTACTCGCACTGCTCCGGTCAGACGAGCTGAGCAGCTTTTTGTTTAGTTCGGTGGGCGCACCAAGGGGTTGGCCGCCTCGAAACAGACTCTGTCCAGATGGATAGTTGATGCCATTGCAGCCGCATACGCGTCAAAAGACCTGCCATGCCCTCTGGGCATCAGGGCCCATTCCACTAGAGGCATGGCCTCATTGTGGGCTTGGTCCAGCGGAATTTCCATTCATGATATTTGTGTGGCAGCGGGATGGGCTTCCCCCTCCACCTTTATCAGATTTTACTATCTGGAAGTTCCCGCCTTGCAGGCTAAACTACTAGCAGTCTAGTATGTTACAGCTCTTCTGGTTGAGCTGCACTATAGGGAGTTATTCACGCAGACCGGTCTCGTTCTGTCCCTCCTTATTATGTGCTTATGTACTTCACAAATCCCCGGCCCGCTCCGCTGGCCTTTGTCACATGTACATATTTTATTCCCACTCATAAGGGTTCCCCAGGGTCCCCCCTGGGACTCATAGTGGATGCTTAGCACGCACGGCGTTGACCAGGTGTTCCCGTAGCGTAAGCTAGCTTACGCAATACGAGAGAACCTCTCGTAAGAGAACAAATCGGTTACCTAACGTAACCTCGGTTCTCTCTAGATGAGGGAACGAGTATTGCGTTCCTGGCCGTGCTTGTGCTACTAGCGTTCTCGCTTCATTCTATGAAAACCAGAATTTACAGCCTGAGAGGCGAATTTATACTCTCTGGCCACGCCCGTTTTGGCGGGCTCTGACGCAATGAGAGCAGGTCAGACTCTCATTGGCCGAGAGTTCATTCGTGTCTCCTCATAGGCTTAAGCAGTTCCCTGTGAGCGAGCCAATGAGCTGCTAGCTAGCCTGCTCATGCTCTGCTGCAGCTGAACTGCGTTGTGAATAGATACAAAATTATAGGATAATTTTTGGCTTCAATTTCTCAGAAAAGATGAATCTTTCCCGTAGCGTAAGCTAGCTTACGCAATACTCGTTCCCTCATCTAGAGAGAACCGAGGTTACGTTAGGTAACCGATTCGTATTCCTCCATGTTTCTCACTAAAACGCTCCCAACTCGTAAGATCTTAGAGAAAATCCCGAACTCCCCACTGGTATAGACGACATTGTGGTGGCGTTTAACTCAAAAATACGATCTATACGAGATGACTTGAACGCACCATTAGACATATACTACTACAGAGTCTAAGGATTTAAAATATAAACATATTCTACGGTAAATTAAGGTGTGATAATGTACAAAGAAACTCGCAAAAATGTATCTAATAGACTCATTTCACATTTTTGCGTTTAAAAATGAATAACCGGCCTACCGGATAACAAACTAAGCCTATTTTATATAATGTAGTTTTAATCTTAGTAATACTCACAAAACGCATTCAACACTGCATAGCCTACTGTTTTTTTTCCACATTTAGTACTTTGCATTTCGTCAGTGAAGCTCAATCTTGGTTTGCTAAGGGCAGATCTCGCCATCTAGTGGACTCTCGGCAACACTGCACGTTTTCAGTTACTAAACTACAGTCAGACAATCAAACGATGAGGACATAATGAGAACATTTCCACATTTCTTGTAACACATTTTAATTGTTTAGGCTTAAAAGAACTGATAGAGCATCAACATAATATGTGTGTATGTGCATGCGTGCCTGTTTTTTTGACATTTACATGTGAAATGCAGTGAAATATGGCTGTTTTCCTGAAATGCATATATTTAAATGATATGGCCCGGTTTCACAGACAGGGCTTAGATTAAACCAGGATTAGGGTTTAGTTCAATTGCAGGGGTCGGCAACCCAAAATGTTGAAAGAGCCATATTGGACCAAAAAAACAAAATAAAAATCTGTCTGGAGCCGCAAAAAATTAAAAGCTTTATATAAGCCTTATAATGAAGGCAACACATGCTGTAAGTGTTACATTAGCCCTCTAGTATCAAAATGATAAGTAGGCTACAAATTAGAGCTTAGATCGGGCCCAAAAAATCAAGCCCGAGCCGGATTTTAACCCGACCATTTTTTAATGCGTGGGTCATTATAACTGACGTTCTCAACTTTCTTTCTCCCGCCCGCAAAATTTATGTTTTGTCCCGCTCCCGCCCGCAAATACACTTTTTTCTGTACCTCCAAATACTTTCAAGTTAGCCTACGTGTCGCCACCATACATCCTCCTGATAAATGATTTGTTATTAAAGCATTAAAACACAAACCACTGTTAATTTAACATAAAAGCAAGCAGTTTACTATGCGTGCATGGTTTGGCATGCATGACTGAATGCGCGCAAAGTGCGCTCTCTTAATAATTCCTAAAAAGCTGACAGTTCATCGCGATCTCACACATCTCTGTTATTATCAATGAAGCTGACTGCACAATGAATCTTTCATAATATCCACACGTTGTTCGTTATAATTGGAGGATTTGCCAGCATACAGAATTCAGCACTGAACAGAAAAGTCAGTTTTGAGCGTGAGGGGAGTCTATCTTAAATGCTTCTGATTGGCCATTGCGTTCAAGAAATCAACACATATGTCTGTGATTGGCTATATCGCTCAACGCTTCAAACATGTTATGAATAGAAATTCTGGCCTGTAAATCGTTTCTATTTTGTTTTAGTAGAGTGAGTGCATTACCGCACGCGCTCGCACTCGGCCATCAAATCTAGTCCCGCGCCGCACTCTATTGCGTTGGGAGAGCTCAGCTATCTTTCTCTTTTTCCCCTTGGGATCCATGGCCCATGACACACCCGCCGGTTTGTTTGATTCTTTGTCAGCCACCGGTCTGGCATCAGGCCGATCTGACAGACACGTGTGTCACAGTCTATGACGTAAATTCTTCGTTGACAGAAATGTTGAAATGAAATATTTATTATACACATTTTTACAACATTGAAAACCTTTAAGAATGTTTGTCATGTTTTTCATCCTACAGAAATTATATTAAAACAAAAAATATTTTTTCCATTTTCGAATTTTTGAAAAAGCTCCAGGGAGCCACTAGGGCGGCGCTTAAGAGCCGCATGCGGCTCTAGAGCCGCGGGTTGCCGACCTATGAATTAGGGCATTTAAGTAGCTTTTATAAACGTGCCTTAGAAAAAAACATTAGGCTACTGGTGCATCTCGAGGCAAAACAATAGCACTGACATGTCAGTGCAAGTTGCTTTCAGTTAAAACAGCTCAAACGTGCATTTTAGTCTGGGACTAGGTTTAAGCCTTGTCTGTGAAACCTGGGGTATAAGTACTATATTTTTTGTATCCTTTGTTAACCTATCCTATTACCTACAGTATGATTTTTGTGGGGATTCAATCTAGTATAAAACGGTAGAAGAGTTTCAAGTAAAATACGCTTCCCTGCTGGAAAGAGTGGAGTTGTAGCAAACATGTCAAGTCCACTGCTAATTCATTCACTTGATTTGTATTAAACATTCAGAATGAAAATTTTCTTTCATGCAAGTTTATTTAACATCTTACACGTAAGTTACATCTAAAATCGTGTTCTGGGAAATTTGGTCCAAACCCGGCACATGCTGTTTTTTAATGTCCTCTTTGGTGATTTAAATCCTCAAAAATACTTTTTCATCCTGTGTTGTTATTCAGTGTATGACCACTGTGGCGTAGTCAGTTCCTGATTCATACTTCACTGCAGCAAACTTTTCACTAGCACCTGAATGATTCACTGTGGCGTACAATAGCTCATCCTCTACTATCTGTGAAAAAAAAAGTTAAAAGTTTCTGTTGAAATGCAGCATCACAAATTTGTATTTTTACAAAATGATGTCCATAAAAGCTATTTTTTGACAGATATTGTTACATGAAATCATTCAAAGTAAATGTATATTTTTATGACTTCCTGCAGAGATTTAATGCTTCTTTCAAAAATAATACAATGAAATTAATTACATACCTCTGTTTTTTCTGCCTGCACTTCAACAGAATTTGCACTTTGGTTTTGTCTATACCCTAAAGAAAGAAAGAAAAAAAAACTTTACTGAAGACACCAGGCAGTAATAAAATGGTCTTTTGATTGGCCCACTGTCTGTTGTCGGCTATATAAAACACCTGCATCTAAAATATTTGGTGTAAAATCATTTTTAGATAGCCTACACATAACCAGAAGTAAACATACAACATGATGTTTGTGGTTTCTTACCTTGTTTTTTGGTCATGTAGAGAATACATATGAATACGATGATGAAGATGAGCAAAGAGAGCAGAATCAGTGTCCCCAGAACCAGAAAAACAAAGTGAAAAAGAGCTAAAGATGGAAACAAAAGGAAAAGAACTTTAAATTGTTAAAAATGTTCCCAGTGTCCACAAAGTCATTTTAAAAGTGTTTTTTTGCAGCATAAAAATGGTTTAAATGCAATTTACATAGCCTCCACACTGTAATGGTGAAATTTTGGCTCATTTTGTCTTCAGGTTTGCTTTTACAGTGGACGATAATTGTCGTTTGGAGCTCTTTGCCAGCTTTTCCCAGTAACAGTTCTTCTCCACTGACAGTGAGCTTACAGCAATGCTCAGAGGAATTTCGATGGCCAATGTTTCTTGATTCAGCGTAGAAAACGCACTGTGGTATAGCCTGGTCCAAGCCACAGCATGTCAGATCATTCCAGCCACTGAGAGTTATCACTCCAAGACTAACAGAGATATCTGTATATGGTGGTTGAATGATACATATTACAAATATGAAAACATACATACAAGTGACCATATTATTACTTTGGCATGCTGTGAGAATCATATTAAAAATATTTCAGAGCCATACTTCACTATACTATATATTTCAGAGTGTGACCCTGTTAGTTTCAACAGTTTTAGGGAAAGTTTTCAATTGCTTTAAACAAGCATTCTAATTTAGCTACAGTCTGTTTCTGTAAAAGTTGATGCAATTTGAATCATCCTCGCATAATAAAACGCATATTTTCAATATGGAAACCATAATTTCAATTAAATACAAATTATATAATTAATGAACACAAGATTTGCCACATACCTGCATTTGATAATTTGGCAGTAAGACTCACTGAAAAATAAGCAGCTGATAGTTAGAGCGAGGCAACACAGATGTCAATCAGACAAATACACAATACATGTAAAATTAAAATGTACTTACAGAATATACACAGGTTTAACAGCTGGATCATAATTTCATGTATTTAAGCTGATACAGCTCCACCCGTTAAGACTATCAGGTCTTCATATAATATCTAGCATGTCAATGTCATCATTTAAGGAAAACAAATCATACTGACGAACAGGATGCATGAGTGATAATTTTGCGTACAGCTTCGCCCCCACTCAAACACTGTAAAGGTTTTCTGCATGACTGATTTTCCCTGGCCTATCATCTATGACCATCTAGCAATTCCACTTTTATTTCAATTACTTACAACTAAATATGACAATATTAAAGCATAATTTAGAACAGACCTCATCAGGGTCAAGCAGAATGCAGGTAAATAAAAAAAATGGTTATGCTATACGCAGACAGTGACAAATACTAAAGATAAGAAACTGCAGTATTACGCCATGGATCATTGAGCAAGTGAATAAAAAGGAAACAGATGGTAGATCTTCTCACTTGCAGGTTTGAGAAGTTTTATTTTTGTAACTTTTCAAAAACTTTTTTTTAAAAAGGTGCATTAGTCAAATGTGCTTAGTTTAAATCTGAGATTTAAAAAAAGGCTATTTTAAATGATCTGAAACTGCTTTGAGAGCCAAAACAATCTTAAAAATAGAATGAATTAATTTAAACTTAATTTGAAATGGTCTATCTACAAATAACAACAAACTCTGCATTATGGTAAATTTAATTGTGTTTTATTAAAGTGTAGAACTGCAGTTAAAAGTTCAAATTCACTCAAAGTTCAAATTCAATCAGGTAGTTTCTGCGACTCGTACAAAAAAACATTCACAAGGGAGAATCTTTGTGGATTTTGAGACTAATAAAAGTCACAGAAACAATTAAATACATAAAAGATGATTTACATGATAATTAAAAAAAAAAGTGCTTTTAGGGGCACAACACTGGGACAGTACCCTTAATAGGGATAACGTTGTACCTTATCTACCGCTAAAAGGTACATGTTGGAAGTAATAATTAGTAGTAATAGTAAAAAAGTAGTAATAAAGTAGTACTACTATGGGCCTTTTTTGGTGTAAATGACATGCAGGGGGAAAAATATTTAAATCGTTTCCACAACTTACTAATACTGTATGTCAGCACATTTTACTAATGCGTTCTCTCGTTTTACTAAATCATGAGCATGATATAATACTTCTTTCCCTCGTTTTACTAATCGTAAACACTAATCGTAGCCACTTTGTAATAATTTGTTCCCTTGTTTTAGTTCAATCAAAACAAGAGAACGAATTAGTACAAAGTGGCCACAATTTACTAAATCAAGGGAACGAATTAAGTCATGAGAACAAATTCTTAATTCATGGCCATATTTTAACTAAAACGAGGAAAGAAATAAGTACAGAGTGGCCACGATTTACTAAAACAAGAAAACAAATTCTTAACTCACAGCCACAATGTATTTTTGTCCGCATGTCATGTGCTGGGCTCTGTAAAGATGTTCCAGTGACAAGCTTTTTTTTGGTTAAAACCCTGAAAAAATAAATGTTGGTCAATCATGATAAAACAATAAAAAGATTTAAACAGAAGCTGTACAAATCAATAATGTCCATTAGTCTGAGGTTCCTGATGTGGCCGAGTTCGTGTCCGGACTTGTGCTGAGATGTAAAGCAGACAGGGCATCATCAAGCGGGCCAGAGGGCGAGTCCTCTTTGGCTAACAGGTTATTCTTGCGGAGCTGACAGGCTTGCTGGTAGGGAGGCCGAATCGGAGGCTGGGTAGGTGGTAAATACTGATACTCTTTACTAGAATCAAGCTGTTTGAGAATAAAGCAAAACATGCAAATCAGCAGACTACTCCCAAGTAATATAATTCATGGTCATACATTTGTGATTTGAAAGAAGCTGATCAGCACCTGAAGTGGATAAGTTCTGTCTGAATCAAAGGCACTAAGATCTCCACAAGCAAGGAAAGGAACTATTATTCGGTTTGGTCCCTCTAACTGGTTAAAGTCGACATCTGGATGGAAAAAAATTGCATTTCAATTGTGAGGAGGAAGACATGGGAAAATACATAAATATTTACAAGATGAAATGAGCACAAGTGCCATGCATAGGTGAACACAAGATACTGTGAAAGCACTAGTATAGGAAGCAAGTTACCGTAAGAGTGATCCAGTAAAGGGTTGGACATGTTGGGCACATAACCCTCAGGTGGAGAGTAATTCTGACACACCACAAATGCCTCTGAAGGTGAAAACACAAAGCAACACTGGTTCGTGTCTGAAAAGGTATAATATTGCCAAAACAGTTTTACATTCCCTCATGAAATTCTACTCTCACCTATGCTAGAGTTGCGGCTGCTGCGTGGTTTGGCACAGGTTACAGAGCTGAAGAAGATCTTGAGCTGGGAGTACAGAAGGGTCACATCTTTCCCCCTGAAGATCTATGTAGAAATAAGACATTGAAATTCATGTGAGATTGAAATAAAACATTTTATAGATATCATAATCTTGAACTGACAACATAAATATACATGAATGCATGACAATAAGACAGCTTACTTTTGCAACAAAGTTGCCACCTGGTTTGAGAACATGTGTGGTGATATTGAGAGCCTGTGAAAACAGAAAACCTTACATGAGGTCCAGCAAGATCAGTCTAGGAGTCACATAGTAAAAAATAAAAAAAATAAAAATCAAACATAAAATTATATTTACTATTAGTGTTTGCACGTTACCAAAATGTCAGTAGTCATTTCCAATACCAGTAAAATTTCACAGATTTCTGTACCAATTTCAGTAGCCTACCACAGCAAAAACTAGAACCATTTAACTATTTTATTTATCTATTCGAAAATAAGATAAAGAGTTAGATGCTATTATTATTAATGCTATTAATAAGTAAATAATACATTAAAATATTAGCTTCAATTTTTTTTCTTATTGGCCATTGTGTTCACACACTAAGCAATGCTCAAAACTTAAAAAAACAAATTGTAAATAGAAACTTTTGATGCTCTTAACAGAGCAAAGTACTGACTTGACTATATAAACGCAATTTACTATGTAAAAAGTAATAAGAAAATAATGGTAACACTTTACAGTAAGGATCCATTTGCTATCATTAGTTAACATGAACAATAAAAAATACTTCTAAAGCATTTGTTAATCTTAGTTAAATGTTAATTTCAACATTTATTAATAAATTATATAAATAAATAAAAGTTGGATCTGTTAAATATTATGTAATGGACTTGAACTAACATGGACAATGAAGTTGTATTAACCAATATTAAAAAAGATGAATAATTACTGTAACTATTTGTATTGCTTATTGATAGTTATTGTGAGTTAATTAATTACATAAAGTTAACTAATTGTCCTTATTGAAAAGTGTTACCAAAATAATAACAATAAAGGCAAAGTATAGCAATACATACCGCCAACAAGAGCTGTGCCTGAATGTACTCATCTACATCATGAAGTCCTGTAACTATAAAGAGAAACAGATGAAAAACCTTTAAGACTTGGCTTAATCTAAAATAGTCTAGAACAGCTAGAGAGGGACATCATCCCCCGGTTTCACAGACAAGGCTTAAGCTAGTAACAGACTAAAACGCATGTTTGAGCTGTTTTAAATTAAATCAGCTTGCATTGGCATCTGCTGTTTTGGCAGATGCACACCGTTAATGTTTTTTCTAAGGCACATTTATAAAAGATACTTAAATATCCTAATTGAACTAATGCCTAAGCCAGGCCTAAACCAGACTTAATCTAAGCCCTGTTTGTGAAACCAGGCCTATATGTTCAATACAATAAATGTTTATTTCTCACCATCAGGGGCACCATCACACACAACCAAGTCTGCAGACTGTCCTTCAAAATGTCGAATAATCTCCTGAGCTGTAGAAATCTATGGCACAATCATATAATTGGTATTGTGGAATATCTACTTTATTTGACTAAAAAAAAAAACTACTAAAAGCAATACAAATATTAACAGATTAAATAGATTTTAAAAAATGTAGAGATTAATGCTTTAATTACACATTATAGAATAAAATGCTATAATGACTTGCTTAAAAAAAAAGCTAACGGTAAAAATAATATGGACCCTTTTCACAGAATGTGAGGTTTTATTTATATTTGAAATTTTCCTAAATTTAATGTACATTTATAACACGTGCTTTGTTAACTTGCCATTGAATTACAGAAAACTGCTTAAAGAGGACCTATTATGCCCTTTTAAAAAGTCTTGATGCTTGAATTTTCAAAAACATCTTGTTTTCACATATTTGACATTGTTGCAGCACCTCTTTTCCCAGTCTGTCAGTAAAGCTCAGTTTAGTTCCTCCTGTCTCTATGAAACCCCTCCTACCAAAAAGCGCAATGAGCTCTGATTGGTCAGCTGGATCAGTGTGTTGTGATTGGTCAACCATTTCAGTGCGTTTCGGAAATGGCACGCCCTTTGCCATAACCGCGAGCTTCAACACACTACTAATGCAATTCAATGAGAAATATTGTGACCTGTACGCAGGGTTGGGGAGTAACGGAATACATGTAACAGCGTTATGTAATCAGGATACAAAAATCCAGTAAATGTAATTCGTTACAGTTACGTCAAAAAACGTAGTAATCAGATTATAGTTACTTTTTGAAAAAAGGGGGGATACTTTCAGGATTACAATGGTTTCATTTAAAACTAAATAAATCTGTATTTTGGCATAATAACACTATATTAAGCGTTCCTTGGTTAATGATTCACGACACGAGTCACGTGTGCCACCCGCTGGTGCATGCGCAAAATAACAGCGCTCTACAACAATCTCCTCAGACACAGATTGAATTACTGCTGCTAGAAACGATGCTGCCCACGGGTAAAAATGCTTTCATTTCTTGAAAATTCCGCTGCTATTTTGTTTTTAAAGAAGAAAATGCCAACAACATGGTTGTACAGTGCAAACTGTGCCTTCCAGCAACGAAAACACTTTCTTTATCGAAGGACTCGACACCCAACCTAAAGAAGCCTTTGCATTCTCTATTTTCCTGTTGAAGAAACATTTCCATTGTCTAAAAATTCTTTATTATATTTGCTTGAAAAAAATGAATTTGTATTCTCTATTTTCCTGTTGACGAAACACTTCCATTTTATTTTTTCCTTGTACATGTCAAGTTAAAAATAAAACAAAATAATCTGTAATACCATACTGTAGCCACTAGATGTCTGTATAGTCCTTTACATAAATATTTATTCAGGGCTGTGAAATTCTTAATAAATAAAAGTTGTTGTTTTTTAAAATAATATCTGTCCTTGAAGTAATCCAAAAGTAATCAGTTACATTACTTTCATATTGTGGTACTTGGATTACGTTACTGAATACTTTTTTTATTAAGTAATTTGTAACTGTAACAGAATACATTTTTAAAGTAACCCTCCCAAGCCTGCCTGTACGTTTCCGAAAAGAAAATATTTTTTCTTACTCTTTTGGAAAGTCATAGAAACACTGTTGTGGATTTTCTCTTTTGCTATTCGTGCAAATAGGAATGGAAAAATTATATTTGTTGTAGCTTCCATTTTACACTATAAAAGTTTACCCAACTATGACAAATTCTGCTTCTGAGAACCCCAGAAATGTGAAAAGGGTCCATTGCTTGCCCATACCAAAACCAGAATGCTGTTATTATTGCAATGAAGTTTAACGGTCCTGCTACTGCACCTTGGTGATATCTCCTTGAATTTGTGTGACACCTGGCAAAGGAGCCATAGCTTGCAGATCAACTGCCACAATTTTGACCTCTTCACTCTTGTCTTTTCCACTGAAACAGGACAGAAAAGAGTTGAAGTGGCAACTAAATCAACAAAATTTCACTGAATAGTATATCTATGTGTTGTTTACACTATCACGAACAATAGATTAAGTGCATTTGCATTGAACTGACCGGAGTTTGCGGCTCAGGACTTGACTCCAGCTCCCAGGTGCAGCACACAGGTCCACAGCACGACTAACACCTGCAGGCAGAACATACACAGTCATTAGAAATATAAAAGCTTACTATGATGTTGTCTATGTGGGCAGTTCACAAGCTTTTGAGACATAGCTTATGACCCATCATTCACTATCCAGTGCAGACTGAAGCAAAACGAAGATCTTGCCTTTAAAAAGGTTGAACTCCTCATCCAGTTGGAGGAGTTTGAAGGCACTTCTCGCTCTCCAGCCCTCTTCCTTCGCCAGCCTGTAGTATATATCTCGCTTGTCTTTAGAAGAACGCCCCATTTTACCTTCACTCACTTATTCTGTAGACAAATAATGATACAATTTTACTAAACCAGCCATGTTTAATAATGAATATCTGTCTATAAAAATGTACTTGCTATCTCACAGTAGAACAGATAATTTGAATACAACTGCGAACACATTCTTATTTTTTTCTATTTACCACTTTAATTTAACTCATTCTGTTCTTCGTCAACAGCATCTTTATAGTTGGTAACGAATATTAACGCTAACGGTTATACGCAAAACCATAATGTCCATGAACGAAATATCATGAAAGTGTAATAAACTGTAATTCCATTTAATGTACCTACATAGGATCACAGCGGAATGAGCGAGATTGATGTTTTCGACGCAACGTGACACTTCTTCTTCTTCTTCTTCTTCTCGCGTTGTTGAAGTCAGATAAACATGAGACAACACTGACACCTACTGGAGATGAGGTACTATTACACATGATGGCTGTGCTTAAATTCATCGTGGTACTTGTAGTTTGTTTTTGGACATTACACATTTAAACACAAATTACAAGCATTACGATTAGAATTATAACCATATAGTATTTGACAGATGGGTTTTAAACTTTCCATGGTAATCACAATTTCTACCAAAATACCTAGCTGATATAGGCCTAGCCTTCATAACTTGGTCAACACTCATTCAGCATTGAACAAAGAAGGAAAGAAAATCTGATAAAATGCCAGTTTAACAGTCACAATACCTTTTGAATTTTGTGACCAATGGTCACTGGATAACCAAATTAAAAACTGTATAGATAAACAACTTTTTTATTATTATTTTATTTTACAAAATACTGCAGTAGCTACTCACATGTTTCTGAGTAAACATCAACATTTAATTGCAAATACTAAACATTATACAATTATGCATATACTAATAAAAAAACAATAAAAAAAAAACAGAAAAACAACTACAAAAACAAATAGGCCTAAATATAAAGTGCCAGTATATTGAATATAAAATAAATCGGTACAGTATAAATAAATCAGGTACAGTATAAAAATAACAAATAAATACTTTGCAAAGCTCACAATCTTTTAAAGCCCTTTTTTGTATTGAAAGAGTTTCTAATCTGTCTGTAGACAGCCTAATTTAGCCAACAAAACCATTAAACTAATTTTATGTAAAATACTTATACAACGTAAACTTACAGTTAGCCTATAAATGTGAAATTTATGTCAATTAAAATAAAGAAATAAAATAAAGAAATAAAAGCACTTTTCATCTTATATTTAGAATAATTTGTGAAACCAAAAATACAGCAACTGCGAGAGAGGTAATGAATTTTTTTTTTTCACACCACAATATAACTGAACAAGTACAATGCCAAAATAAATGCAATCTTCATGATAATTATTAGAGTTTATATTTATACTTTTTTAAAATAAACTTTCTGTAAAGATTTGCTGCATAAAATATGAGTTTAATATTCAACATTGTAGCCTATGATCTGCGGTAATAACCAGACTTCTTCCACTTTTCCACTTAACAAAGAGTTCAAATGAGATATAACATGTGGTTTAGTAACAATTTCTCTTTGAGAAAAACACACTTTACAAGCAAAAGATTCAAAAACATCAAATCGGATTGATATCACAGCCAATCTGCACAGACAGCTAGTGGTGCAGACACAACCATAGATGTGCATACGTAGATTTCCCATTCGAGTCGACAACTCCAGACACGTCGGCGCGCCCGCCATCTTGGAAAGGTCTACGTGTCGTCGTCACTCACAGTGAAATCGATACAAGCGCAGCTTCTGGTTGTGAAGCCGCCGAGATTAAAATTCCCGAAGAAATTTGATAACCTTCTCACAGGCGAGTTTGAGAATAACATTTCACAGTTTTTTTATACTAGGGTAACTGTGTCGGCTGATGCCTTTGTCTTGTTGTATTATGCTAGTTTAGCAAAATCATCTGCTGAAGTATATTGCAGATATAGATGTACATTCATGCGTCCAACTACTGTTGGAGACGCTCAATCAACTCATAGACTGTAAAAAATGGAATCAACTCGCACTCGAGTGTTCACGGACTGGCTTGCCTTTCACCGTCTGAGGCATCTATATATCTATGAGCGCAACAGTCTGCTCAGGTCCGGTTCTCGCGATATTCCTCGAGGTTTCCGGTGTTGTGAATGTGTCTGGAAAAGATGGCGGTCAGCATCCGAGGCCGTCCTATCCGAAGTATACGGATGCGAGGTGAGATTAAGCAGACTCTGCTCGGCCGATTGACAGATGCTTCAGGATAATATGATGCAGTCTTCTTCAGCTACACTTGCCCCAAGCGTCCTTTTCTCAGTGTTTTATTTTGTCTTACATAAACAGGTCGGAATGACAGTGGGGAGGAAAATGTACCGCTCGATCTCACAAGAGGTAAGTCAGATGAACCCTGTGAACCTAGACAGTATTTCTGGGCATCATAGGCTTGGTTGGAATGTCAGCCTCGCGCGTCCCAAACCCGCCTATGATGCCCAAAAATGCTTGCGGTAACGTTACTAGGTTTTGAGACACAGCCTTAAACTAAGACCGCAGCATCACACACATCCATATCCAATGTATGCTCGTATAAAATACTTAAATACAGAGAAAAACATATGGTGTTAGAGGTTTCTAATGTTTTTATTATTATATAAAGGATGCATGATGTGTGAATATCATACATCTCTTATTCATGTCCAACATTGCAGGGCTGTAGGGTCCAGCGACTGTAGAGAGCAAAACACAGTGCTCCAAAAAGCATGCAAAACTCACTTTTAGATTGTTCATTATTTTTAAAATAAATACTACGTAAGCGGACGTCAGATATATTGCAATAATTCTAACAATGGGAATGCTTCTAAAGCATTTATTACTCCATAAGTTAATGTTAATATCAACATGTATTAATGCGTTATTAAAAAACAAAAGTTGTATCTCTGTTAGTATCATTTAATGGACTTGAGATAACATGCGCTAAGGAACAGTTCTATTTTTATTAATTAACATTAAAAAAAGATTAAATAAGTATTCGAACAAATGTATTGCTGTTAGTTAATGCATAACTATTGTTAACTAAATGGATCTTGTTGTAAATTCTTACCTTTTAATGTATTAATTCTGTTGAAGTAGGCCTAATTCAGAAATAATTTTGATCTTGATAGATCAGGGCTGCTTCTGGTTTCTCACCGTACAGCTCAACAGACAAATCAAAATCTTGCCACAGCTTGATATACATATTGTTTTTTTTTTATTTCTTGTGCACGCTATATCTTAGTTTTTATTTAGTAACAAGATTGTTATGGGTCTGTTTTATAAAGTATGCCTCTTTCAAAGCACCATTGTTTGGGTTACAATTTTGAATGGACAAAATATACTGTATATATATTTAATATGTTGTGAAGAGTAAATATACCAAACTAACTCTGGTATTGCTGGGTATTTGTGTGTTTTTGTGGGGGAAAGTAGCTCATTAGCTGTTGCTGCACATGATTGTGTGCTGTCTTTGCTGATAGGTTTACCCTGAGGCTGTTTTTCCCATATGACCTCTGTGTGGAAGGCCTTTTCTGGATGAAGCCCCGCTTCCGGGGATAAGTTGTTATTGCTATGCTGGCTAGATTTTTTTTTAACTTGCCCCAAAAAAGGTTGCCTCAGTTTCTGAGCTGAATCGAACAGTATTAATCCAGTAGTCATATTCCAGCAACACTGCACTGTCTGTTGGTTTCCATCATGAATTCACTTACGTTGACGCGTTTGGTGTCGATTATTTTGTTGATTTTGAAAGTAGTCTCTTATGCTCTCTCCAGGGCTGCATTTTTTTTATCAAATTTACAGTAAAAACGTTAAAATTGTGAAATAACTGTTTGTTTGTTTTTTTGGTCTGTTTTTGTCAGCACCCTTTACTACAATTTCAATGCTGCTTAATATTTTTTCAGGGTTCTTTGATGAATATAAAGTCCAAAATTTAATTTTAGAAAATTTAGTTATTAATAACTAAATTTCAAAGTTAATTTTTTTGAAATAGAAATCTTTTTGTAACTTATAAATGTCACTTTTGATCAATTTAATGCCTCCTTGCTAAATTAGAAGGTGGTGTACCTGTATTTAGACAACTGTTTTTGGCAACAGTCTCTGTGGTTGGCGATTTTGTTTTGCGGTACAGATGACTGAACATATATCCTGTGTGACTGCTGGGGGAAATAAGTCGTAAAAGCAAGTGCTGTGTTATTAGTGCCTTTGAGTGTCCGTATTTTATATAAGATGGTTTTACACAAAATAAAAGAAGAATTTTAGATTTATTATACTACTTAACTATAAGTCTCTTATAGGTATAGGTCTCTTTCTCGGACTTTGACCTTGACTGTTCCCTGCTGGTGGAATGACCTGCCTAATTCAACCAGAACTGCTGAGTCCATTTTCTAGAAACGGCTGAAGATGCATCTTTTAGTTTAGATTTTAGTGGAAAAGGGGGGAAAAAAGAAATATTAAGAAGTGAGACTGAAATATTTGAATTCTCACAGACTTGCTCTGAATTGGTCAGTCTTCTTTTTAGATATTCCTGTGACAAATTTATCAAAACCTATTATTATATTAGCTACATAGTTTGTTCCATCCACACTAGAACTGCAGTTTGGTGGACATTTCACTGGATCTTGATGCATGTTACAAGAAGACGTTACAAAACTGAGCAGAGGGTGTTATTTATGAGAAGCTGTTCATGTGTGAGATGTTTGTATTGTAACGTGCTTGTCTGGTTATTGTTTGAATATGCTTTTGTGTGCTTTCTCTAATGTTACTATACTGTGTTTGATTCCATCCCAAAAAGCACTTCTCTGCTTCCTGCATTTGTAGCACACCAATAGTAGAAATGGTGTGGATTACTTTGATCTTGCTGTTCCAGGCAGAGCGTAATGTCTCTGTTCCCATCTCTCTATTCCTGATGACCTCACAACTCACAGCTCTTGTCATCTTTTTCTTCTAGACCCTTCTGAGAACATGCGAGAGATCCTCCAGAATGTGGCCAAACAGCAGGGAGTTTCGAATATGCGCAAACTAGGCCACCTGAACAACTTCATCAAGGTTTGTCATCTTAAAAGTGGATCAGTAATTTCAGTGGAACAGGGAATGCTGGGATGAATGTTGTTAAAGGCACAATGAATTCAAAATTTTGCAGTGTTTATTGTATATGATTTATTCATATTCTCCATGACAAATGGCTCAAAGGAGGGTGGGACTAAATATCTTCCACAACTGACTGCAAACTGGCATTCAGATCTTCCTCCATTTAGTTAGCAACTTCCTACGATCCAATCAGTTCCCGAAGGACGAAATCCAGTCCCGCCCCCCAAAAAAAAATTCTCACTGCAGAAGGCGTTTCACAATAGGGAAGAGAAGACTATCTCAACTTTCGTTTCATGCTGACTTTA